TCTGCTGCCTGCAATCCCTGCAGTGTGTCTGGAGTGTTTCAAACGTGGCTCTGCAGATCTTCAGTGGGACCTTTGTGTCTTCTTGCAGAGGAACTGATACAAAGCTCTGCTTTTCCAGATGCCAGTGGAATGATCTCGGACCATTTATGTGCTGCTTCTGTGACTGTAAATATGTCTGCTACTGTCCATCTCAGTATTTGTTACACAGAATAAAAAGTGCCAGTGAGCAATTAGTTTATTCATCAAAATGTAATGTCCTGTGATAGACAAAGTAGGCTGCCCTCAGTCCCCCGCAAAAGGAAGGGCTCTGAGTTCTGAAGCCAGAACTGACTTGTGCTCAGGACAGGGCCACATAGCCTCAGTTGGCTCCATTCCTTGACATCCCTAAAATGGTGGATTAGTACCGTGAACATCAAAAGAGGGTCTACCTTGATAATTTTGGGACATGGTGACCTACTTGTTCCTTATAGGAACATATAAAATAAGCTTATACATTGCTTTTGGGCTTGGCAGGGATAGAATCTCAGCCTATGTTAAAAGTGGATGCCCTGAAGGGCAGGGAATGTCCCTTGAAATCACGTCTAGAGTGCCGGTTATCTGTTGTGAAGGCTCTGTTTGTGTGAGAGCAAGCCTCTGGCATATAATGTCAAGCTGGTTGTCTGCCTGCTTTGCCGACAGTCCTCAGCATGGATGTGAGTCTCCTTACACAAGCCACAGAAATTGTTCTGCTGATAAACTGTGGATTTGGTATGTTCCTTCCAAGACAGCTAAAACCCATTAGTCAAAAGCAGTTCAAACTCAGAGACGATGGTAGCTTGCAGTGGTTCTGAATTAAAGGTTATCTTAACATTATAGGGAAATGAGAAATAAAAATAATAAAATCTAATACTTATAAAATGCCAGAGAGATATTTTTTATTGGCTATAAATGGACATGGCTAATATGAACGATTAAGAAGTAAGATTAAATTTTTTTTTGTTTTACTTTTATAGTACTGGAAAGTAAAAATTCAATGAGTTGATGAAAATCTTAATGCTAAGTATTGGTTTACTAAGAATATAATAATACTAAATGTCTCAAGCTTTCTATGTGAATACATGCTTACTCTGGGTTTAGTCATTACTGCTTCTCAAGTAATTAGAGCAACAGCAAAAACTGGTACATTCTTATTAATAACATCTCTCTTCTTCAGTCTCATGTATTCTTCCAAATGGTAAGATGGAGGTGTGACTGCTTGTTATTGACAAGGGATCTCTATGTGCAGCAAATTCATGGTGCACATCAGGCTGATCCAATGTCAAGGGACCTTTCTAGTGCTTTCTTCAGACCATCCGCCAACATTCTGTGTCCTCATAGTCACCGTTTCCTCAAGTCTTTAAATCAAGTGTCACGTTCATGCTTGGGCTTGTCCTCTGTTTTTCATCTACTTCCTCATTTCTCAGGTTTCTACAGTATTTACACCATGATCTGCCAGCATTGTTTAAGAAGTATCTGTGATGTCCATTTTACTGAGAAGGAAATTGAGGTACAGGCATGTTAATAGTCTATCAACAGACACACAGGCTTAATAAACACAGAAAATCAGTGCAGATAATACTCTGGCATTTAGGAGGATGTGTAGTTGTCTAGATGATGGGAACCAAGCCAGGTAGATGATACTAATAGTGAACAAGAAAACATGGACGATTTATGGGATTTTAAGAAGATCTAGAAACTGGATGTATCTAAAAGGAAGGGTAGTGAAAATTGAATGATAGTTTGTTTTTTGTTTTTTGTTTTTTGTTTTTTGTTTAATGAGGTCAATCTAGGCCTGTCTGGCAAGGTGATTATTTCCTTACATTTCGGTCTTAAACCTCACATTTGTTTAAGAACACTTGGGAACCAGCTTATGCTGATTACAGCTGTAAACTTTACAGTACCCTTTGTAGGAAAAGCATAATCCTACTGGTAAAATAAAGGTGATACTTAACTCCTTAGGATGCTTTGTGACTCAGGGAAAGAGCAGTGTCTCTTAGAGGCCCAGTCATGGTAGGACCTTATCCGTCCATTCTGAGAAGCCAATGTGTTCGCTCCTACTACGGAGCTAAGGTCCACTGAAGGACTGTCACTAAAGAGTTATTTGGGTAATACAATAGCAGATCTTACAACATCATAACTTGAGGTCGGGGAACTCCATACCTTAACAACTTTCTTTTAAAGCCCTCTTTAAGTTACACTTGTGTTGTGGGATATTATTTTAAGATGTGTTACATTTGTTTATGCTTTGGAACATTTGTTTAATGATGCAAAGATGTGTTGCATTGTTTTATGTTGCATTTGTTTAACTCTGTGAAGCTGTGATTCTTTCCCCGTTTAAAACACCTGATGGTCAAATAAAGAGCTGAAGAGTCAATAGCAAGGCAGGAGAAAGGGTAAGCAGGGCTGGCCAGCAGATAGAATAAATAGGATAAATCTGGGAGGAAAGAAAGGAACAAGAGAACAGGGGGAGGAGGACAGTAGGGAACAGCCACACAGCCAACCATGGAATAAGAGTTGAAAAAGTAAGATATATAGAAGTAAGAAAAGGAAAAAGCCCAGAAGCAAAAGGTAGTTGGCGATAATTTAAGTTAAGAAAAGTTGCAAGAAAAAAGCTAAGGCTGGACATTTATAAGTGATAATAGGTCTCCCCTTGTGTGATTTATTTGGAAGCTGGGTGGTGAGCCTCCAGAAGACCAAAGAGTAAAGTAACGACCAACAACACAGCCATACCATTCTTGTCTGAAACTCATAGTTTGGAGAGCAGATATTTAAAGGTCAAAATTGACATGTGCAGGCAATAGAAGGAAGTCATGTTTGGATTTTGTATCCCATCTCCTACTTTATATATTCCCAAAGTTTAACCTGGAGCAGGACTGCCTTCCTCTAATCCAGACCTAGTGTAGGCTGCTTTTGTCTGGACTTGAGCAGCATTGACTTCTGTCATCCTGGGATCCCTGAATTCCAAACTGTCACTTCGAAGAATTTTTGGAATTCACATGATCCTTGCTGGCCATCTTTTCAAGCCCTCAATGATGTTTCTGACATCCAAATTGAATTAAAGTTTGCTTCCTGAGGTATGGATTCCCCCCCCCCCCTTCAGAGGTTACTTTTTTTTTTTCATTGATAGAACATCAGGCCTTTATAGAATTTCTTTTTTGATGTATGACTGGTCTGGCTCCGGGGCAGAAACAAGGCACCTCTTTTCCCGCATACTCAGATCTACCGTAGTGGCAGGAAGGGGCAGTTGTGGTCTGTCCAGGCTGATGAGCACTTCTCACACCAAGGCAGGCCTGGGTCCTGCAGCTGCCTAGGTTACCTAAACAGCTGTGTTAATCCTGTGATAGATTTGTGTGGTTTTTAGCCCCTTTGTCAGTTTTAAATTAGAAGCCATTACTTGTACAAAGCATTGGGTTTCATTCCATTTCCATGTGTGTACATAATGATGCTGGCCACGCCCACCTTCCCTTCTCTGTCTCCTTTCCCCCTCTCACACCCTCAACAGTGCCACTTCTCACTCCCCACCACCCTCACCTTTTTCTTGTTATTTTGAAGCAGGGTTTCATTATGACTCCCAGATATCTTGGACCTTACCATGTAGTAGTTCAGGCTTGTGGTCTTCCATTGTAGCCTCCCAGATGCTGGGGTTACAAGCCTGGCCACCACGTTTAGTCATCACCCCTGTCACCTCCATGTTCCTCTTTCCTATAAATCCCATGGAAGCAAGAACAACTGTGGCACTTGTCTTTGTGATGCTGCCTTAGGTTGCTTATGTGATCATTAGTTCACCTATTTTCCTACAAATAGCATAATTTTATTCCTTGTGGCAGAATAAAACTACAGAGTAAACATAGACTGCATTTTCTTCACCCATATGTTTTGGTGGGCATGTAAGGTGGTTATATGATTTGGCTATTATAAAGGGAGTGCTACAGTAAATAGGGAAAGGTATCTCTACTTTGACTCCTTTGGGCATATACCCAAGCACTAGATAGCTGGGTCCTATGGTAGCTCCGTATTTAGGATTTTGAGGAACCACTCTACTGATTTTATAGTGACTAGGCTCATTTACATCCCTGCCAACTGTAGACTGAAGTTTCTGTCCCCCCTGGTCCCACAACCGTTTAGTCCCAAATAAACACACAGAGGCTTATATTAATTATAAACCATTTGGCTGATAGCTCAGGCTTTTTTGCTAGCATTCTTTTAATTATTAACCCATTTCTGTTTATACATCTCCTTCATTGGTCTTGGCTTACCAGAGATGCCTGAGCTTCTTGCTTCCTTGGCAGCTACATGGTGAGCTGCCAAGTCTCCTGTGAGACTCCCTCCCTGTGTTCTTTCTAGAATTCTCCTAGTCTGGTAGCCCTACCTATACTTCCTGCCTGGCTATATCCTGCCTGTCCATTGGCCAAAACAGCTTTGTTCATCAACCAATAAGAGAAACATATATTCACAACATACAGAAGAACATCCCCCCCCCCTCATCCAACAGTGTATTGGAGTCTCCACCCCATCTTCACTGACAGTTTTTTTTTTTTTTTACTTTTCCTTGATGGCATGAGATGGAATTTTAAGTGTCATTTTCACATTTCCAAAATGGCTAAGGATGTTAAGCATTGGAAGTTTGTACTTTATTAGAAGTTTGTACTTTATCTGAAAACTGTCTAGTCAGCTTTTTTCCACACTTTTTTGTTTGTTTGTTTGTTTTGTTTTGTTTTTCGAGACAGGGTTTCTCTGTGTAGCTTTGGAGCCTATCCTGGCACTCACTCTGGAGACCAGGCTGGCCTCGAACTCACAGAGATCCACCTGCCTCTGCCTCCCGAGTGCTGGGATTAAAGGTGTGTGCCACCAACGCCTGGCTTTTCCACACTTCTTAGTTGGATTGTTTGTAGTTTTGTTATTTAATGTTTTGATTTTGAGTTCTTTATATATTCTGAATCTTTATCTCCTATCAGATCAATAACCGGTAAAGACACCTTCCCCCAAGTTTGATATTTTGTATTTGTCAAGGCTCTCTAGAGCAACAGGACTAGCAGAATGAATATTTATTACAAAAAGAGTTTATAGATTGGCTTGCAGGGTTTGAGTTGTGTAGTCCAGCAATGGTCGAATGTGTACTAGAGAGGCTGAGAACCTGATGCTTGCTCAGCCCACATGGCTGGATGCCTCAGCAGTCTTAATCTGGTGATGAATTCCTAGAGGAGGCTGAAGAAGCTGGTTTCCGATGGCAGCGAAGGAGCAGGATGGCGGCAGCAGCAACAGGGTAGACATATTCATAGGCAAGGAGAGAAGACATGCAGACAAAAGCAGCAGCGTTGCTTTCCCTCAGACCGGTTCATGTCTGGCTGCTTCCAGAAGGTGCCACACCCTTGGGGGAAAGTGTTACAACATCATTTAACCCTTCTAGGAACCCTTAGTGACCTGTCCAGAAGTGTGTCTCTTATTTTATTCTACACACAATGAAGTTGGTAATCAAGATTACCCCTTGTCAGCTTGATATATATCTAATTATATCTCCTTATGTCATACTTAATTTCCAAATGAAAAAAAATATAAGGGCAGTAATTCTACTTAACATGATCTAACTATCGTACAGTCAACTAAAAACACTGTTATTAACAAAATAGGACAGAAACCCTCATGGCAATTAGAATTTCATTTCTGTAACTGGTCATTTGGCCTTAACTGGTATTTATAGGACCTTTTTCTAATAACCATTCTCTATTTCCTTCACTCTCAGCAAGCAACTCAGCATGTCTTGCTTGGTTCTTTATCTGGAGGGGTGACTCATCCCTTCATTTCTGTAAGTTACGGACCATTTATTATCTTGCCTGATTTGAGTTGTAGTTTCTCACTGACCTTAATCATAGGACGTCATAACACGAGGAGACACCATAGTGGATCTCTTCTACTCTGGATATACCTTTTTACATGGTGAAAGGACAGTCAAATCTCCTGATAGGCTGGATGAATCATCCTCCCTAATTTTACGTCATTTCTCAGCCTGTTGACTCAAAGGTATCAGAACTGAAAGTGGCCAGGGAGCAGTCTGAGCTTCCAGTTCAGTGGAGTAGCTGTGCCTCCCGCAGGCAGGAGCATTTCCCCCTCTAGAATCAAAACATTTGGCCAACAGAGCCTGAGGTCAAGCCAAACTTTCACTAGTGGGTTATCAAGGATGATGATGGTACATCCCCATTTCTACTCCTTAATTCCAGGACCCCGAAACCATTGCTGGAGGAGAAATAATACCATGCAATGACTACTAATGTAGCCTTCTGGAGAACCCTGCCCTAGGCCTCCAGTCTATTGCTACCTAATTGGCATTGTGACTGTGTCTTTAAAAGGCCATTCCACCATTTTGTCAAGCCAACTTGACAGGATACATAAGCCACTGTCTCACTTCTCTGGCTATGAAGTGAGTCCTTGGTCAGAAGCAATACTGTGACTGTGATAAGGCATTATGTAAGTTCATGGGTGGTCATTTTGGCAGAACTCCACTCAGGAAGGCAAACCCATACCTAAAAGTATCTGTTATCTTCCCGGTAAGGACAGAGCCTGCTTGCTACCAGATCCCTTGGCACATCACCCCAGGAATGGTGCTTATTGAGGACTTGGTATTCTCTGTAGCTGACATTTGGCATTCAGTAGCAAATCCACCTTTGTAAGTGGAAGTATACATTGTTAAAGCCATGTATGGCTTCCATCCCTGTCACTGTAGCCATTTTGTCCAGGTGGCCATTGGGCAATGACAGGGATAGTCATGGAAAGAGGTTGACTGCTGTCCATAGAATGGGTCATCCTATCTACTTGTCATTGTTTCCTCTGCTGAGGTAACTTGCTCAGGATTTACATGGGACACGAGTATCTTCACGTCCGTTGCATAGTTGGAGAGATTTATCCACATATTTGTTTCTTAGCTGTCTCTCTCATCAGTTTTCTAATCCTGCATCTTTCTAGTTTCCCACAATTCAGCTACTTGGCTACAGCTCACAAATCAAATCACTGCTTGTGTGCACATCGAGTATTCTCCCTCCAAGCAGAAATACAAGCATGTGCACTATGCATGTGCACTTGCCTACTGGGAGGATTTCCCTTCACCTCTGTCCTTCAGAGTTGTCCCAGAAAAGAGTTATAAGGCTGTAGCTGTCCACTTCTGGGTGGTTCCTGCATAGGTTCACTATGGGGGTCATCAAGGGTGCCCAAACAATCTCTGTCTGCTACTGACACCTCAGTTACCGTTGGATCTGCTGGATCATAGAGCCGAAGAAGCAGAAGAGCCTGCACAGCAGTGGGGACCTGTTGAAGAGCTGCCTTCTGTTCTGGGCTACACTTAAAACTAGCAACCTTCTAAGTCAGTTGGCATATGGGCCAGAGTAACACCACAGAGTGAGGAGTGTGCTGGCTCCAGAATCCAGGAGACCCACTCAGCATTGTGCTACTTTCTTGGTGGTAGGATAGGAACAGCAACTTATCCTTCCCTTCAGAAGGGGTATCTTTGCATAACCCACACCACTGGGCTTCTAGAAATATCTCTGAGGTAGAAGGCCCTGGAATTTTGGTTGGATTTGGTTTCTATCCTTGGATGCACATATTCTTTACCATCAGATTCAGAGTGGTTGTTCCCTCCTGCTCACTTGGCCCAATCAGCTTGATGTCATCAATATAATTGGACTGATCTGATATCATGTGAAAAAGACACATGATCACAGGGCTAGAGAATTAATAATACCCTTGAAGTAGAAGAGTAAAAGAATTGTTTCTCATGGTCCTTAAGGACAGGTATTGAGATCAATAGTTGCTCATGTCACTGTATCATCTGTTACAGCAGCTGCTGTTGAAGTCACAGCTTGATTAAGTTTGTGATCATCCTGTCACCTGCCTCTGTGAGTTCTTATCTTAACTGGAAGGCCACAGTACTTTCAGGGGCTCCCAGAATCAGTGTCAGTTGTGCCACTGTCTAATAGGCTCTGAAAGGTCTGATTATTTCCTTTCCCCTAGTATAAAAGGCTATAGGTTCCCTTAGGGAAGAATGGGAGTGAAAGATGAAGAAACAGTAGTAAACCTTCCCACTATTGCATCTGGGTCCTTCCTCAAATGAGGACAGCCTCCCTTTCATTCAAGGGGTCCTGGGCCTATAAACTAGCTAAAGTCTGGAAATCAGTTGAGGTGCCCCTGAATGTCTGTTGCTGTGACTCAAGACAGCCATTCATTTATTGTACTTTTTTTTTTTTCCTACTTATATAGCTCAAGCAGGAGCTTAGCCTTTCTATTGGTTTCACTTCTGGGAACATCACAGTTAATTACCCAGTGCCAAAGGTCTACATAATCAGAACATTATGAACAGTGTTTTGCCTATGTTGTCCTTTATAACAAGTGAGCTCACCTTGCATCTGGTGGTGCAGTACTGCCTCTTGACCCTTGCTGCCCTGGGATTCAGTGTGACCCGTTGTATTTAAGTTGTCCAGTTGAGCAGCCATGACTTGTACTGTCAGGTGTGGCATACAGAGAGAAGCAGTGACAGCTCCTTGGTTGTGCTGGCTCCCCTCTCACAAGCCTGTTTGTTGCAGTTTGAATGAAGGGCCTGTCCACGCCCATTGGGGGGGGGGTTAGGTTTCACATAGCAAATCCTCTCCAGCCTGCCAGTGTCCCTGAGCCTTGGATTCACTTCATCCACACCAAGCCAAGGCATATCATACCTCTGCAGCTTATTCACACTGGCCCATCTTTTGGCTCACACTTCAGTCAACCAGCCAAATAAACCATTGGCACCTCTTCAGTTGTGTGAGCTAAATTATTAAACCCGGAACTGGTGCTCACTGGGCCCAGACGGTTTTTTTGTTGTTGTTGTTTGTTTGTTTTAATGTGCTTCCCTAAAGAACATATTTTCTGACGAAATGTAGGAAAATAGTTGTAACAAGTTGGGGCCACATTTGAATGAGGTTAACAGTGTCTGGATTTTCTCTTGTGATTGTATTCAGTGCTAAACACAATGCAAATGTTAACAATGCTGCTGAATTTTCTTTGCTTCTCTAGATATTCCTGAAATTCCAGAAAGCATCTCCTTCTGTAAAGCCCTGCAGGTAGCTGACTTCAGTGGAAACCCCCTCACCAGGTAACTGTCACACTTCACCTTTCTAGTTGCAGTGCTCGGGGTAGCATGCTTGGTAGCCAAGCAAAGGATACAGCCAACTGCTGCATCCTGGAGGTACCTAGATGGGGCACTGTCTCTGCCCAACAGGGTTGACTTTAGTGTGTTCATCAATAAACACTGGAAAAGGGCACATGTGTATTGATGGGATCGTGGGAAAGGAGGGCAGGGGGTCCCTGAGGACCATGTAAAGCAAGAATTAAAGAGTACATCTCTGAGCATCATGAAGCTTAAAACAATTCTCAGTTGGGTCGGCGAGAAGGCTCAGCAGGTAAAGGCACTTGGCAGCAAATCTGACCATGAGAATTCATTTCCCGGAACCCACATAATAGATGAGAACCAACTTCTTCGGGCTGTCCTCTGACCTCCACATATGTACCATGCCACATGTATGTGCACTGTGGTGTGGGCATGAGTGCACATGTATGTTAGTGCCACTAAATAAATGTAAAAATAAAATAAAAGTAAATTCCCAATTCATCTCCTGTCTTACGTGATCAGACCGAGGCCAGAGAGATTCCTATGTATTTATTTACCCATTTCTTTCATTGACCTTGGGGCTTCATGGTTACTAGGCATGTGCTCTCCTACTGAGTTACATACTCAGCCAGAGATGTCTTATTCAACTTACTTTTTACACTCCAGTAATGAAACATTTGTAATATCAGCTTTCTATACAAAAGCACATACTCACATATACAACAAGCTTTTTGAGGTGGGCACTGTTTGGAGACAGTGTTTCTCTGTGTAACAATCCTGGCTGTCCCGGAACTTGGCTTTTGTAGGCTGTGCTGGCTATAAACTCACAGAAATCCACCTGCCACTGACTACCAAGTACTAGGATTAAAGCCATGTGCCATCACCACCCAGCTACAAAAAAACTTCCAACACTATTATTTCCTTACTCTTACAGTAAGGGGATTTCCTTAGGTTTATCATTCTGGGTATGGCCACCTGTCCCATTAGTGCAGCTCCGCCCTGCCTGGTGTTTCACAGAACACTATCTGGGTGTGGCTGAGGGGCGTTGCATTGACTTTCCTGGTGGCCTAGCTGAGTTGGGAGTCCACTGACACCTGCATCTAGGTGCCTGTGTTGCCAGGGTAAATGAATTGGTGCCCATATGGCAATGCAGAAACAACTCCTGGGTGTGTATTCTAGAGGTTTTTCTGGGCCAGTGAGTCCATTTGTCAGACTTCTAAAGGCTCTGCACATAGCTGTTCCCTTTGAAATTGAACTGGATTAATCTCACTGGTTTCAAAATTGAGCACCCCTGAGTATGGAGCAATTCCCTGTTTAATTTTGCTTTACCCACATCTCATTTCCAAGAATTAAATATTCTTATGGTGCTTCTGGTTTTTCTCTTTTGGATTTTTAGTGACTGATACTCTTATCATTTATGACTGAAAAATAATAATCTGTTATGTTGCATAAACCTCATACCTTTCTTAACTCGTTACTGTCCTCAGGCTATATCCTCTGTCCTATCCGAGTTACCATCACACAATTCTCTCAGAACCGCTTTAGTTCCCACTCCCCATAAGTTTGTGCTCCCCCATGGCTTTGAGAGCCTCCTCAGCCCCTTTGTGCTCAGCCAGCCTCTTCCCTGATTGCCCTAGGCTACCTCTGACAGTCTCTGACCACTAATGAGACACTTTAGTTTGTTTCCCAGCTCCCCCTCCCTGACAGTTCTGATCCTTTCCCCTCCTTTCAGACTGTAGGAGGAACACCCTGCATCTTCAGAAAGCCTTTCCCCTTCCTCCCTAGCCCCCCTCTGGTCTTTTCCAGCACCCTCTCTGCACTGTGTTTTCATAGCACTTGACGTTTCCAGGTAAGCTGTCCCTGTGATAAAGACTCCCCCATGGATATGGGGAAGTGACTTGCATTTCTCTCTTATTATCCTATCTCCAGCCTAACTGTTAACTGAACCCAGCGAACTGAGCCAACTTAGCCGCAAGGCAGCGTCTATGGCTCGACAGGCAGGGGGGATGCTCTGTGTGGTGCAGCTGAGACTTAACCACTCAGTCACTTCAATGGCCTTCTGCTTTTCTACTTCTCTCTTCCTAATGGCTGCTAACAGTTGACTCCACAGTTATCTGAAGGCTCTCAGCTAGCACACGCTCAGCTTACGAGAGGCTTTCATTCCTGTTTTTATCCTGGCCTCATCTGTGGCAGGATTCTTAGAGAAAAGCCATCTCAGTTTGGCAGTGTCCTGATGTTAACAATTAAGATGTCTGTGAGCTGAAGGGGACTTGGTAATTGCTTGGCTTGACCCACTTAGCTTATGGCTAGGGAAACCATACCTCAGCTAGATGAACAGACTTGTAGATGGTGCAGCTAGTGCAGAGAGAGGTGGAAGCTCCTCACTTGGCTCCTCCTTCCTCAGCATGCTGTACTCTCTTACATGCTGCTCTTACTGCTAGCAGCAGGCAGAAAGACAGGCCAGCCAGATAAAGCATCTTACTTGGTTTATAACATTTCAGGTATTGTTAGGACTATAAAGGAATATATATATCTGGAAAAACTCAAGACAGACCAAATAAGTTCTGTCTTTTGAATTATAAATAACAAACTTCAGAAAGCTATTCCCTATAACATAATAAAACATTCCTGTTAATACCCTGTTCTTGGGTCTCTGGATTTGGCTCTGAATTATGAAATTAGCCTATATTAAATGGCAAACATTAATACAGGATTTCTATTGTTTAAAGACAAACAAGCCTAGCAAAAGAGAAGTACAGTGATGAAGAGCTCACTGCTAAAGCCGGAGTTCTGCTCATGTTGGGAGGGGAAGGAGGGAGGGAAGAAAGGGGGGAGGGAGAAAGAGGAAGAGAGAGATGCATTTTATTTTAGGTGTGATGAGATTCATCTTTAGTCATGATTTTCCCTCTAAATATGGGCAACTGTAGGGGAATATTGAAATTAGAATTTCTTTGTAAATTTTAAATAATGATTTTGTATCAACTCCTTACAATTTTCTCGAGTTTCAGACATATTAAAGTCTTTTGCGTAGACTGCATAGTGAAAGATAAAATATCTTGAATGAGTGACATCTTGAATTAACAGAGAAGTTACCATTTGGCTAACAACCCATCAGTGTAGAGTAATCCCTAGCTCTGGGCATTGGCACTACAAGGGGGAGGACCATTGAGCAGCTGTCCTGTGGCTTAACCTCTGTGGGCTAGCTAAATTTGCTCTGCATTTTCTTCCAATCAGTGCAGTGTTTTCATTCTCAGCAGGTTTTCATTTGGGTTTTTTCCCTTAAGATTTGTTCTTTTTTGTTTGTTTGTTTGTTTAAGATGTGGTCTCATTGCGCAGCCATGGCTGGCCTGGAACTCACAGAGATCTACCTGCCTCTGCCTGTGAACTCTGGGATTAAAGGTGTGCGATGTCACACTCAGCCATATCCTCAGGGGTTTTGGCTCCAGTGGCAGCATCTTTCTTTCTCATAGAACACCCAGCACTTCACAGCACCTTCTCTCTGTCAGGCCATGCACATCTACCATTTCTGTGATTGCAGTTGCATCACTCTGTCAGTAAGTATCTACATGGCCTGCACTTCCCTTGGGTGTACAAAGCCTTTTGTTTTTGCTTACAGGTATAGTATATATGGGAAGATAAGGCAGGTATTCCATAATACAAGGTAATTGCAGGAGGCTTTTGCAGCCACCACACGGATGAAGTCTATGTTTATACTTGTACACTGCTTTACTTTTTAAAATTAACATTGTTGTTGTTGTTGTTGTTGTAGGTTGCCAGAGAGCTTTCCTGAACTGCAGAACTTAACGTGTCTTTCTGTAAATGACATCTCACTGCAGTCTCTGCCGGAAAATATTGGGAAGTAAGTTTTTACAGAAGTCTGTGAGTTCCAGGGATGAGAGGAAGCTTACCAGCTGCATCCTCTGCCTTTACAGCTTTGATACAAAGGGCACATACAGTTCACTCAGTTTTCGGTATCACTATCAAGAAAGATGAATGCCAACCTTCCATTTGTGTGTCCAGTTGCTCCTGTCTTTTTTATTTACTGTCTGTCTATATGCTTCTGTGTACACATTTGCATGTGTGAGGAGGCCAGAGGACAGTGGAGGCTAGGGGTATCACTTTGTCAGGGTTTCTCAGGGAGCCTGGAGCTGGGTTCAAGTCCAGTGGTCCCTGGTGGTTCCCATCTCCACCTCTCATAGTGCTGGAGTTCCTGGCATGCGTTTGACCACACCCAGCTCTTTACATAGATTCTGGGACTCAGATTCTCATGCCTGCTTAGCACGTGTGCACCTGCCCTCTGAGTCATTTCTCCAGTGCCCAGTTGTCCCTGGATTTTAGTGCTTGTAAACTGTACTGCTATTTTTTATTTGTTAGCAATCTAATTTGTTTGATATTTTTGGTTTTTCAAGACTAGGTTTTCCTGTGTAGCTTTGGAGCCTGCCCTGGCACTCACTTTGTAGACCAGGCTAGCTCTGCCTCCCAAGTGCTGGGATTAAAGGTGTGCACCATTGTTGCTTGGCAAAATTTTTATTTTTAAAGTAAGTGTGTGTGTGTGTGTGTGTGTGTGTGTGTGTGTGTGTGTGTGTGCGCGCGCGCGTGTGCTTTGACATTGTGGTTGTGAGTATTCATGTGCTTGTGAGTATTCATGGAGACGAAAAGAAGTTGTCAGGCTCCCTAGAACTGCTTGGTACAGATTCTGGGAACTGAATTATGGACTCTATTTGCTTGGGAATTTAGGCCAACACTGGACAAATGATACCTCATGAAACTAAAGAGTCCCTTGTACAGCAAAGGGAAGAGTTAGCTGAGTGACGATGAAACTCCCAAAGCGGGAGAGAACCTTTGCTATCAATACAACTGATAGATCAATATCCAGACTACAGGAAGAACTCAAAGCAAAGAGTCAAGAAAATGGTCCAGTTAAACAGTGGGCTATGGATCTAAACAGAGAGTTCCCCAGAGAAGAAATAAGAATAGCTAAGAGATGCCTTGTTCAAACTCTTTCAATAGAAAGCAATCAGGGACGATAGCAGGGTTATCAATAGAACCTTAACAAAGACCTTTCCATAATGAGAAGAAAAGGCAAAAACTGGGATGGTCACTTAACAAATGCATCTGCCTTTACAGAGTGTCCTTTTTATCTTGTAGCCAGGAAACCAACGCAGTGTCTAGCCTGGTGTTTTGTCGCCAAATGTAAAGCAGCATGTTTGAAATGATTAAGTATTACCTGTGCTGTATGTGCATAGAGATAATAAAGTATTGTCAGCCCAATTCCCTTAGGAGCAGACGAGGGTGGTGGTGTAGAGTTTCTTATTTTTAATGAAAATATTTAAGCTGAGTGGAGTGGTGCATACCTTTAATTCCTGAGGCAGGGGAACGTTATGAGCTCCAGTCCAGCTTGGTCTACATAGTGAGTCTCATGACATCCAGAGCTACAAAGTAAGACCTGTCTTAACCGTGTGTGTGTGAATATACACACACACACACACACACACACACACACACACACACACACTCATATATATATGCACACATACATATGCATGTATAATTTTCATCCAACTCCTATAAAATTTAATGAAAATTTTAATATGAGCAGTATATGAAGGTGTAATGTAGGTATATGGAGAACACCCTTTTGTTGTATACTATTAGGGGGTCATCTAAGGTCTATACCAGGGATTCTCAGACTTTGGTTTTCTGGGCTTCCAGTGGGTTCCGCTGAGTTCTTCCAAGATCACTCTGGGAAGTGAGAACCAGTACTTGGGTGGTGGTCTCTGCTGATCTTTGTTTCAGTTAGCTCTGCTTTTGAAAAACCCACCACAAACATTTTTCTAGCTAAGCTTGGGGACTTCAGTTTCAGACCATTCGTTAACACTTATATCCACATGCACTGTGCACATTTTACTGTGGTGCAGATCCATGTATAAACCAAGCAGAAAACTCCAAAGCCTTTCATACAGATATTTTTTAGAATCTGCCCAGTACCCTGTCTTTCCAAACTGGCTGAAGTCTGTTCTTCAGTAAAGGTTGAAAGCCTTCCTTTTTGGCCACACCTTCTGTAATGACAGGAAGAGGTGAAGTAGATTCCAGACCTGAGGGTTCCCTGACCTGCCACTTACTCCCTATACTGTAATCACTTCAGTTCTGTGTCTGTACAGAAAAGACCTCTTCCCCTGCTAGGTGAATACACACAACAGAGCACACAGGATCCACACCTTCAGCACAGTGAGACATCATAGGTTCTGGACGATGAGTTCCGGGAATCTCTGCCAGAACCTTGTAGCCTGTCCCTATGCAATGCCCTTGACTCAGCTGCTATAATAAGTGGCTTTGAAGAAGTAACTATGGAAAGTACAGCTTCTGTTGCCGTAAAACTTTGTAATGAAGAATAAGTATTGTCTATTAATACCTGTTAATTTTTGTGATCTAAGGAGCTATGAAGGATAAAGGGGGTTATTTTTAGGGAAAAAATATCTGCCAAAAGAATGGGAAGCTGTTCTCATTTTAGTAACAGTTCTGACATCACTTTGCTTCTCTGCCTTTGTTGCCAGAAAGCTTAAAGCTAATTCCGGTGGGTAGTGGGAGCAGCTGTGTTAACTCCTGTGCAATGGAAGGCAGTGGGGAATGGACTTAACGTGCATCAAGGGGAGTAGGGAGTGGGGTGAGGTGTCGCTGGCAGCTGCATCGAGTGAGTCCAGTGCTCCCCAAGTACGTGCACTCTCACCACAGCCCCCACTCTCCCAAGGCTGGCACCAGGCACCTGGGGTGCCGCTAGCGTCTTCTGCAGAAATGGTGATAAGTAAACTAATGTATTGCTGTGCATGGCTGAGTTAGCTGCAGAGTCTTCCTTGCAGATACGCGGTTTTTAAATTGCACACTTCTCACAGTAAGCACATTCTGCTTCTTCCTCCTTCCCGTGGTCTTAGTGTTTTAGGTCCCGAGTCTTTCTGTGCCGTTTGCACCTGACGCCTGCTAGGATGATTGTCCAAAAGGTACATGGTAGCAAGCGCCATGAGAGACTTAGAGAAGTTGAAACCTTTCCCTGCTGCTAGTGGGGAAGTCCAGCAGTGCAGCACTGTTGCAGCAGTGTGGTGTGAACAGGCGCTGTCTCAGTTGAGCATAATTCCCACATAGCCCAGCTATTCTACTTGTATTAAAGAATTAAAGACGTGTCCATACAAACATTTGTTGGTGAGTTCATAACAGCATTCTTCATAATGCCCCCCAAAGTAGAAACCATTCAAACTTGGATCCATGATAATTAAAATGTACACCCATCAGTAAAGTATTACAAAAGAAATGAAGTACTGTTGCATGCTGCAACATGATGAACCTTGAAAAAATTTTAAGTTAAAAACAAAAAAAAAAAAAAAAAAAAAACAGTCAGACCCCAAAGGTCACATACCGTCTGGCTCCGTTTATACAGAATAACGAGTATGGTCAAGTCTGTAAGAAAAGAAGCTAGTAGTTGTTAGAGGCTGAAGGGTAGAACAAGCTTGAAAAGTAAGGATTGAATTTTAATGAATCCCTGTAGTTATATGTACTCTAAAGAATTAAAAACATGTCCATACAAGAAGGACTTTGATTCTTTTGGAGAGGATAAATATTTTCTGGAATTGGTAATAATGTTTGCATAGCTTGTGAATAAATGTGCTAAAAGCAGAGAACTGTACACTTCAGAAAGGGAATTTAATAATTGGTGAATTGCCCTGAGGTCACTAGTCCCATCACTTGCCCCTGGCCAGCCGGCAGTTATGTGTGTCCAGTCTTTACTGTGTTCAGGAGCCACAGAGTGGGGGTGAAGGCTACAGGGGCTGAGACCCCAGGTAACTAGCAGGGCATGCCAAGGACTTGGGAAACCTGCGGCTCAGCATGGGACAGTGTGCTACTTTGTCTTGGCCTTATGTAAGTTCTCCGTGAAACGTTTGTATTACTTGCCATGAAATTAATGCTATAAAAAAAGAAGTTAGTGTAAGTGTACCCCTTGCTCCTTTAATCAAAATTTCTCCTCAGTGCATAGCCTGCCTAGAATAGCAGAAATGTCTGATGAGCTAGCGTAGTTCCCAGCACAGCCCTGGGTCATTGAATAGTTCTTATCAGCAAACATGTAATTATGATAATTTGGTGGTAGAAATAGAACGAGTTGGCAGGCTTTGGGTTCTCTGGCAGACCGAGCTAGAACATGTGGGTCTGATTTTGTATGTGCTGTCCTTGGAGCCAGTGACCTTGATTTCAGTGGACTTGAACTAAGCAAGCCCTGGGGCCATGGCTGACTAAGCCTAGCACTAGGCTGCTTAGCTGTGGTGTGATAGAAGAAAAAAACCTTTCAGAAAACTGTTGTCATATTAAATATTATTTTTCTGAAGTCTGGGGATTGTTATAAAAAAACTGTTTCAAAAGCAAAAAATAATTTGATTTTTGAAGTTTGGGGTCTGGGGTCATAGTTTACTAGTAGAATACTTGTCACGAGCGAAAATTTTTTTCAATCATTGCCACTGTAAATGTTTGTAGATTTTTTTTAAATGATTTTACAGTATATTGTCATTTGTTTGGTGTAAGTATTTTTCATTTTGTTTTCCAGATGATTTGGTAATGAAAATGGGGGCAAATCAAAGTGGTTTAAAAAGAGTATTATTTAAAACAGTTTTAAAAATTCACATTAAAAAATGTGAATTTCTCAAAATAGCCACCCATTCAGTCCCTTGAAATAGAATCCTAAAAATACAGTAGGCTTCCATTCTGACTTAGAGGGAGTGTAACTTCTGCCCTGCTGTTCTGCACTGTGGAAATAGGAGCGACTGCCAGAAGCATTACCTACTTCTTGAGGTCTCGTTAGCTTTCTCACTCTGACACTGC